CGGAGCCCTGCTGAAGTTGCTAGCCCTTTCCAGTCCAGATTTTCATACTCTGACAGTCGGCAGTAGTGCCCAGCATGCAGGTGCTGCTTGAACAGTCCGAGGCTCACGTGTAGCCCTGGAGACACCGACCAGCGGCCCTGCCTGTGGAGTGGGGACGGGGGTGGGACAGCCGGATAGAGGCTGTGGTCCTCCTGGCCAGGGGCTGGCCCTGCCCTCCTCCCTGCGATTGCGCAGGCTGTCTGCTGTCGCCACTCAGGGGGCCAGCCTTCGGCCTCTTTAAAAATGAGGCAGCCTGCAATTCAAGCTTTTTGTTTGTTTGTTTGTTTAAATGTTCTTTGTTGACTAGTCTTTGTAGCCCTTGAATTTGCTTCTTGAATCAGCTGGATTGTAAGTGATGCTCCCGTTCTAGAAGGCGTGGGAGTCCTTGTTGGTTTCTTCTTGGATCTACTTGCCCTCCCTTTGTGTTTAGTCCTTGGAACCGAGACCTTGGTATCTCAGCCTCTCGTTCAGCATTGGGCCTCTTGGGCCCCACACTTGAGGCTCTGCCCACACCCATGGGGGTCCTGGGTGCCGCCCCGCCTCTTCCCGGGGAGCTGGGTCTGCTTTCAGTTGCTCGTTACTTTACGCTTTGTCGCTTCTGTGTGTTCTCTTTCTACGGTGTCGCTCAAAAACATTTGAACTGTGGCATGTGGGGCAGGGAGGGTGGAGGTAGTTAAGTGTTTGGGAAAAGAAAAAGTAGAGACTCTTGGCCCCAGCCTCAGTTCACCAGATCTGTGAGAGGGGCCTGGAGGCTTACACACATCGCAGCTGAGAACCTGAGGGCTCAGGGAGCCTAGGAAACTGGTTTGCCATTTTTTTACTGAGAGTGGAAGAGAGAAGGGATCACCTGGCCCCAGATTTTGTGTTTTGTTATCAGTCGTTCGAATTCACGTATCCCTTTCTTCACCTTCTCTGTGAACTTGAATTGTACCGAGACTTCACCACAGAGCAGATGATCTGTAGGTGGGATAGAAAGAGTTGCAAAGTGTGTGCTGTGAGCAGTGGTGGGTGAGGGCTGGGGAAGATGTCTGGGGGTCTAGTTGCAGCAGAGGGATGGACTCAGCTCCTGTGGAAGCCCCCGCCTGGGCTACAGAAGGGCTGCACTCGTGTGACGACTTTGGCGGGGGGAGGAGGTGATGTTTTGGTGGCTTCAGAAGACAGGGCAGGATGGCATGAGATCGAGATTCAAGGCATGAGAACGAATGTACAGAAATCAAGTGTAAGACATGCTTAATAGACGTGAGATTTGAGAGGCTTAGTGTCGTAGAGCAAGTTGTAAAGTGGGTGAAGTCCAGAATGAAGTCCTGAAAATCTTTCTTTCTGTGATCTCTAGTTAGTTTTCTCATGCGTTCCATGCAGTTTCCTTGGAGTAACAACTACCTGCTGGTTCAGGCTGATGGCTGGTAGATTTTCTCCTGCTCTTACTGTGCAGCTTAATGAGCTGGTTTTGAAGGTTTCGTTTTTGAGTAGTTTCAGTACCTTAACTCCAGAGTTTTAACTGAGCACTCCTGGGTTTGGGCAGTTCTGTGTCTTGGTTATTTCACTGTTGGTTCAGCAGACGCTTGGTGTCCAC